ACAGGGTAGAGACCACCCCGGTTCTCGGGCTTCTTACAAGTCGTGAAGTCCTTCAGAGGGATCTGGCGCTGCGTGAGAAGCACGCACCGGGACGCTTCCACTTTGTCCGTGAACAACTGTTCCTTCTGGACTATGGCACGCTCGTAAGAGCCCTTAGAAGTGTGACCCCCAATAAGCCCACAAGGAGCCTTGAGCTCCGCCAAGAAGAGGTCGGCTCCAAAAGCTCTCCTCGGGAGGCCAATAACCTCTCGGGTTGATGGAAGCTCTCTCTGGCCGACAGGCGTCGCCTCCGAACCCCCAGACTTTCGCCGAGCAGCTTAGAACAACTCCTGCTGCTGGTCAAGGTCAATTGTGATCTCCCGGGGCTCGTCGATGACACCCTCCTCCTATTCGTCCGAGGAGTCGAACATCGTGTAATACGGATCACGGGTCTCCTTCCCCTCGCGGAGGGGAGACCTAGAAGCCATGCGCTTCTTTGAGTGCTTGGCCTCAGTGGCTGCGGCTTTAGCAGCCTGAGCACGTTGAAGGCCCTCGGCGAGCGAGAGGTTCTTCGGAGGTTTCCCTCCCTCGTCGCCGCCAGCATTGAACGAGCCTTAGCCTTGTTGGCAGGGCTCTCAGAGCGCTCAGGCGTCTTTGAGTCGTGATCAACGTGATCACCAGCGAGCGAGTGCACGCTGTCAACGCTGTGCTCGCTGAGCACTCGAGTGTGCCCTTCCACAGAGCTCCCAGACACACTTGTGTAGCACTGGGCCTTGGCCTCGTCCTCAGAACCAGGACTGTGCTCACGGCACGCGAACCGTGGGTTCGGATGGTCGTCTGAGGACACAGAGGGCGACCGACTGCGGCGTGAGCTTCGCCGCTTGCTCACAGTCGAGTCACCCGAGGCATCAACCGCCTCGGAGGCTACCTTAGTAGCCTCCTTGAGTGCCGAGCTTTTGCTGTGACGCTTAGAGCTCTTGGCGTGTGCCTTTCGGGCAGCAGCCTTGGCGGGTGCTTTCGCACCGCCCTTCGCAGTATTGCGAGCCATGAGTAGGTCGAAGTGGAGACCGAGAAGAGGAGCGCTATTGCTCAAGGCTCCAACTGTGAAGTGAGCCACAGCCGCGTTCCCGCAGCTTGTCGAATCCCTTTCGACTCGGTGAATGAGAGTTTGTGATTGGTCGGTAAACCGAAACTAAGTGGGGGAGGATGTAACGGGGTACGAAACCAGGTGTACCCAAGTTACATGAAGAGTGATTGTCAGGAAGGATGGGTACATGGTACCCATGGCTCTAGGAGCCATCCATTGGATAACTACATAGTTTCACTATAGGTATCTTGTAGTTTGTATAAGGGTTCAGACTAAGCTTACCTATAAATACATTCAGTCTTAAACGTACCCTTAACTGAGTACTTCGTCCCCTCAAACCAGGGACACGTTAACTGTCGTTCACTTAGAGTTTGTATACTCTTGGAAGCCTGCTTCCTCAGCGCAAGGTGCTGTGTGACCCCGTCACAGGCATCGCTACAGCTTGTTAAGATGTCTCGTATCTAACAAACAAGAGGAGACAAGCGCTGAAGAACCAGGAGCTACCTACATCACACATAAATCTTTATAATAATCTGAGATATTATAACCACATTTATTTCAGCTAGAGCTAAGGGGCACGATTAGTGTTTCATTTTCAGAGAAAAAATAGCCCGCCTACATATCCTGTAGCTACATTAGATTCATGATGGGTCAATACAAATTTACAATGATACACTAGGCTAATAAACTTTACAAAATTTGTAAAGACTTAATGGTACCTGACCCGTCGCCCTTTCGGTTAAGTCCGTCTGTTGTTGTATGGTGCGAAAATTACAAATGAACTTATACCCGCCTGAAATGATATCTTTGGTCCCAATCAAGTGTGTAAGGTGTAATTCACTTAGAACAAATTTGTGGTTTGTTAATCAAACCGATTCCTCCATGGTTTCGAGTTGTACTATCAAGAGGCTACTGCAGCAGCTTCGCCAGTGCAGCTACGAAGCAGGCGCAGGAGATGCGCCGGCAAAGGAACCCCAAGCCTTCGAAATATAAGAATATTTTTTGCTAATTTCAGAGCTTCGTCTGCTGAGCACGACTCATTATCTAGACAGAGAATATCACTTTTTTTTTATTGATCATATCGATAGATCCTGAAATCCAAATTTATCACGCCATACCATATCATAGAGAAGTAAGAGCAAAACGCCAGAAATCTATTTGTCGATTTTGTAGTACTCTGGTAGCTCTGAAACGACGGCTTCTGCACTCGAAATATGCATCTCATTTCCCATCAGAGTTCCGTTTCCTTCGCAAACATATTGACTATGTACAAAAAATAAAATCAGGTTCAATTACAGTTGCAACTTCCACCCTTAGACTATCACGCTCATGGTTCTTCATGGTTTTAAATCGATGGCACGGAACTTTGGAAATACGGATAATAGTCGTAACACGACTAATCAGTGTTCACTGAACGGTGTATTGGATACCACCCTGTAGCGGTGGCGCTCGGCTAGTAGTTTCAATAATGCCATTATCTGACGTGATCTAAGAAATCACCAGCCTCACAGCAAGCTCAGCCCCACATACAAAGTCGTTTGTACCGTTGATTTCGCGAGCACAGGGGTCCGGCAGCGATTCCAGGTGCCCACCAAACACTTCACGGCTTATCGTGCCCATACTCATCTTCACTGAAGTAGTTTCTCGGTGACTGACAGAACTTGAGCGTAAACTTTGGTCTTCTGCTTCCACTCACCAGGAATGGCATCACCCCCTTGTGCCGCTGCAGTGACAGCTCCAATGACGATGGCACGGCTACAGTTGTCTCCGCCCGCCAGCATGTTCGCACGCAATGCATCCACGAACCCGTCCGAAGTCAACAACACGAACACTGATCCTTGCAGCACACCAGGCAACGAGCATGGTTTGCCGAAGTGAGCAACGGCAGATGTGGCATCCGAAAAAGTCTTTGCCTCCACTGCGTCAATAACCTGCTGGATAGAAGTGCGCGTGTCAGCATTCACGGCTTCGTTGGACGTGAGCGCCCGGATAGCGTCCGGCACCGAAGCACCCTGTACAACTTGCTGGATCAGCAGTGCCGTGGCCACCGCCGCGTTCTCGGCCTCCTCTCCAATCTCGTGCACGCGCGCCGCCTCACGCGCCTTCTGCAGCAGGACGGTCGTGTCCTGGAAGTAGCGCGCAGCAAGAATTGGAGCCTTGATTCCGCCGTGTAGGTCCTTGCTGGGTGACGCTAGCTCCGGGTACCTTTTGCCCGCGTCGCCTTTGACGACCATCTCCTTAAAGACACTGTTCAGCCGACCCGTGTAGGCCTTGGCGGCACGATAGGACACCATGGCGAACTCCTCCGGCACGAACTCGCCGCGCTCAGCCACATCCTGTAGCAGCGGAAAGATCTCGTCTCCGTACGGCGACAGTGCGCCGCTCTCGTACGAGTAGAAGGGGCAGGATGGAGGCTCGTAAAACTCGGGACCTGCTGAGCCACGCGCTGCCGCGAGCTCCTTCATCTTGTCGCCATCGTAGATCCAGTGGAGCCCCATGGTAGCAGCGTCAGCCACAAAGCCGCCGGCCACGGCCGCCAGCGCACGCTGCTTGGCGGTGAGAGACATAGTAGACGGGCTGGACTGATGCGTTGTTGCGGAGACGTTTACGTCCCAGAGAGCGGATTCGGAAGTGAGCGGCTGATTCCAGTAACCAACGAGCAGCACGACCACTGAGGAAGCCACGAGTCCAAGCAGTCCTAGTCGCAGACGCAGGTTGAACATGATAATACGAGCGACAATAAATACGGGACGTGATCACTTAATATGGGACGATCACAACGTAATCTGCGGCGACAAAGGTGACGATGTCTGTCGGAGCGGAAGCTAGGAAGCGCGCGATGAAGGCCAAGGGCGGCAATGGCACCGTCCTCGGATTCGCCCTCGTAGTTGCCGCTGGCTTTTTCTCCATCCCGTTCGTCGCTCACTATACCAAGGTGCGCGCAGTGTGTGTGTGTTGACTGGTCCTCGACGCTCGATATTCACTCTGCTACTCGTGGCAGGGTGCCAATCTGACTGCCCAGGAGAAGCCGCTTAACGCGTCACAGATCCGACGTGGGGCCTACGCGAATAGTGGTTCGCGTGACGCAGGAGCTGACCCGGACTGGGATATGTCGACGGGCACATACCATGGCCGACGTGGACGGAGCGTGAAACACTCCACTGCATCCATGCACGCAAGCGAGTAGGCGTCAATGGCAGGGGCACAATAGCTCTAATAAGAAGGAGGTCTGCAAGTCTTACTGTAATGCTTCTATATATTCAGACACACAAGCGGCGCTGCTCGTTCACGGGGCAGCAACTATCTAGCTAAGGTTGGCGTATTTGCTCTTCTTGCTTTTCTTGCCCTTTTTGCGGTCGCCGTCCGCGTCGGCCGAGCGCTTGTTGTGCTTGTATTCCTTCTTCGGCTCCTTCGACTCCTTCTTGGTCTTGTTCTGTTTTTTGCTCTTCACCTGCACAACGGCGCCGCCGTTTTCTGCCTGTGCGAGTGCCGCATCCCAGTCGGCATCATCACCGCGTACAGCATATTTCATCAGGTTGAGGCTGTCCAGAAGCTTCTGCTGCTGCTTGGCCTTCTCTGCCTGGGCGCCCTCGCGCATCTCCTCGTCCAGGGTCGTCTCGGTAGGAGCCATGGCCTGCGACTGCGCCGCCACCTCGGCCAGCTTCTTGCTGTTCGCAGTCTCCTCCTCCAATTGCTTCTCCATGAGCTGTTCAATTTGTCCGAGGAATTTCCGGACAGCCTTGTTAAACAGCGCCAGTAGCTGGTTAGACGGCACGTTGAGTTCTTGTTGGATCACGTCCACTGACTGGTGCTGCAGTCCGAGACTCACTAAGATCGCACGCTGCAAGTACGACAACGACATCTGCGGGAGACGCTGGAGGAAGTACAGGCGCGCCAACGACGGAATCAGGTCCACGATCATGTGGTAGTCTACCATGTTCTTGGCGTACGACTTGAGACGCTTGGCATCGTAGGGGGTCAACACCATTGCCAATTCTGCGGGGCTGATCTCACCGGTAGCGCTGCGGTGCAGAGTGAGCTGCTTCTCGTCCTCATTCGATCCGGCAGACTCGTCACTCAGTAGGCCTAAAGCGAGCGCGCACGGGAACTTGGAGAAGTCGTAGCTGAGCAGCGACGTGAAGCGGCGACGCGAGTCGGCCACGAACTCGTCCAGCCATCCATCAGCAGGAGCTGCAGGGAGGTCGTCGCAACGCAGAGAACGCAGCATAATAGCCGTGTGCTCGCCCGTGAGGTCGTTGGCAGTCTGTCGGATGTACACCGAGCGGAATTTGGCGCGAGACCAGAAGTTGTGCAAAGGCAACGTCAGACCGAACGACGTACCGAACCAGTGGAGACGCTCGCACGGACGCTCATCCAGTGGCAACAGGAGAGGCGGAAGCGTCTTGCGCGGCTTAATCTTTTCCTTGCGAAGCTTCGACTTCTTCTCTTCCTCGTCGTCGTCATCATCCTCCAGTTTGTCTTCCTTCTCTTTCTCCTCAGATTCTCCATCAGCAACATCACTGGTGATCTCACCCTGGTAGTACTTGGTGAGCAACTCAATGGCGCGAGAGCCGTAGCCCATGCCAGTCACATCCGGGTGAGTGGCAATGCGCACCACACGCGCACCCGAGAGAGCTGCAAACTCTGAATCTTGGAACTGCTGCGCCACTGTCCACGGAATTAGGTCTCCTGAAGCACGCTGGCCACGCGTAAGCTGCGCCTTCACCGACGCCTTGGAGATCTCACCCTCCAGAGCCACCTGCACAACGCAGAGAACGTCCGGAAGCTGGCCAGCATTACCCTGAGCCTCCGCACCAGGGCCGAGCAGAGCGAAAACGTGGTGAGCTGGAGCGTCGGACAACAATTGCAGGTCATTTGGCTGATTCTTGTAATGCGAAGACACATACAGAGCCATAATTCGCTGCAGGAAACTCTCCGACAGCTTGTGGTAGGAAAACAGTGAGTCGCGGTTCACGTAGTACAGCTCACAGTCACGCGGGTGAGGCGTGCCAGCCACCAGGCGGTGCGATGCGTTCGTCGCGTCCAAGCACAGTAGAGCGTTCAACCAGCGTTCGACAGGGTCATTCGGAGCGTACCGAATCGGGGTCTCCAGAGCAACCTCACGGAGTACACGCGCCGATGACGAAGCGCTTCCAGCGGCAGCAGCGTGGGCGGCATTGCTAGCTGCTTGCCAGCGTTCTTCGTGCAGCTTCTGTTCACCCTTACGGCGCTTCTGGTCACCGTGAATGCTCGCAGCAGCGCGCGCTGCGGCCTCTCCAGCACTACCCTGCTGCTCACGCAGTTTTTGCAGAAGCTTCAGCGACAGCGAGCGTCCCGTACCTTCGTAACCATTGATGGTGGACGACATGAACACAAGGTAGGGACCCAGTAGGTTCTTGACGACGGGAAGCGGAATAGCAGCAGCCTCATCAATAGCCACAAGCTCCGCTTGAGCAAGCTTCTCGTGGTGTGTAGGTTGAATGTACTGGATAGTCTGACGGTGCTCGCGGAAAATGTTAACGCGCACCACAGCGTGGTTGAACTCTGGGTTGGTACTTTGCACGATCTCATAGTCCAAGTGCTCCTTGTACTTGAGTGCATCGAAGCCCTTGAACACGAAGTCAAAAACGGTCTTGAGGTTCTCAGGAGATGGTGCCGTCACGAAAATGTTGCTGTATCCGTAAGCTACTGCACCCGCCAGCGCCATACCTAGAGCTGCCGACTTACCACGTCCACGTCCTGCAGTCAGCGCCACAGTGGAGCGCAGCGTCTTCTCCGAAACAGCCTCAACGAAGGTGAGAATAGCCTTAGCCTGGTCCAGGGTGCGCGCCTGCTCCACGAGAGCGCCAACAGGCTGAGTCTCGCGCAGAGATGTCTTGAGTTCCTGCAGCTCAAGCTCGTCCTTGGTGAGCTCTGTGGTCGAGTCGCGTGGTGGCAGCGGCTCAATCTTCCGCGTGTGCTTGGAAATAGGCAAGACGTTGAGCTCGTCATCGAGCACGACACAGCGCTCGCACGAGGCCAGTGATAAGATGAAACGCTCATTGAAGCGCGCCACCACGTCCTGGTGCGATTCGGTGCGGAAGCGCGCGTGCACATCCATGCTCATGGTGTAGAGCTGCTTGAGGCTGTCCATGGTGCGTAGTAGCAGCACGACGACGCCACCGCCCTCGACAGTCTCGATGGTGCGCGCCATGATATTGGGAGTGACAGCCTCAAAGTCCTGCAGCACGCACATGCCGTAGGTGCTGCCCAGCACCTTGTGTGTCTCCTTGTAGTAGCACCAGCGGATGTCCGTGGAGGCGATGAAGAGCTCGAACGGGTCGTCCTTGCTGGGGTCGTACAGGCCGCGCTGTTGCTGCTTCTTGATCTGGCGCATGCGCTTCTGGCGGTGTGTAGAGAAGCCCAGCTCCTTCTTGTAGCACCACAACACGCGCGGGCGCGCCTTGACGGCCGCTTTGGACAGAATGTAGTGCAGATTCATGACCTGGTCCTTACCATGGTCTCCAACAAGCACTACAAAAGAGCGAAAGTTCTCTTGGATGCAGTTCTCCAGCAGCGTCCGCACGCGCGCGTCCACTTTCTTCTTGACCATGGTGCGCACGACTCGAGGCAGGCAATGCGATTGTGGGCGAAAGCATTGGCTGGCTGCTGGCAACCATAGAAAATCCTACATACAGATACCATATGTTGTAGATCTACCTACAAAATCAAGTTGAAGTGATTGTCTGAAGTATTCAATTAAGGGTTAAGATGAACTCTCAGATAACTCAACGTGCTGTGGCTCCTGGATAAGTCCAGCAGCAAGTTCATCTTCGGACGGGTCGTCAGCCTGGCACAAGGCGTCGAGGCCCAGTCGTCCGCCCTCGTCGAACTGACGCAACAGGAACTGCTTACGCTCCGAGTGGTGGTGGCTGCGGTGGACAGCGAGATCACCTTCGTCCAGGATCTCAGCCTGCAAAATCTCCTCGAGTACGTCCTCTAACGTCACGATACCAAGTAGCGTGTGCATATCTCCGCTCTGGTATGTGGTACAAACACCGTGGAGATTGGTGAGTTAGGAGTCTACCACTTTGACAACCTTGTAAGATACTCTTACCGCATAGGTTGTCTGCGGTTGCTTCACCAAAACTAGATGCGCGCTTTCAGATTTAAAGGCCCGAAGAAGTGCGCTCAGTCTGCAGTCAGGGTGTACAGAACGCGTCGTTCGACCGAAAATCTTGAAGAAGCTTGACAAGGGAGTGTTTTCCTGCGAACACAACCCCTGCATGAGTACTTGATCAGCACCAGAGGTCTAGGCAATCACGCACCTTTGGATCCACGAAGATGAGGTCTTTGACGTGGATGGTCCCAACGATGTCGTTCACGGAAGTGCCGTGAACGAGTATACGCGAGAAGCCGCTCGCGAGAATATTGTGAATGAGCACCCGATCCAGGACGGCAGACATCGGGGCCATGAAGACTTGATCAACGGGGGTCATGACACTTCGCACAGTCTTGGTTCCGAAAGTCATTGCACCCCGAATGATGCTGCTTTCCTCCTTGTCGATCATCTGCTGCTTCTCGTGGATATCGATGATCTCTGCCAGCTGAGTGACAGTCACTGTCAGAAACACACACGCGAATGATCAAATGAAACAAATGCGTACCTGTCTCCTCGTAAAAACTGTGCCAATATCTTCTCCCAAAGTAGCATCTAGTGCCAAACTTATAGGCTTTGCAAAAATGTAGAAGAGAGCGATCAAGACGCGTACGAACGGGACCACCTTGCCACCGATCACTGCAACAAGCATAGCATTAGATTTACAAGAACGAAGCCAAGAGTGAAGATGTAAACGTTCCTACCTAGAGCGTATCTAGAGCAAAGGGCCTGCGGGACAATCTCCCCGAAGATCAAGATGAGGATCGTCGATGCAATAAATCCCAACAGCCCTGCATCAACAACATCGTCAGCACCATACACAGCAACAAGCACAACTGTCACTTGAGCCTACCGCTGGTGAGGTCGGCGGTAATGATGGACGTAAGTACGTTCACGGAAACGTTTCCCAGCAGTAGAGTCGTGAGTAGCAAATTGCCCTTGCGGCGCAGCGGAATGACCTTTTTGGCAGCCTCGCTATTCACTCGTTCCGTCTCTGTGGCGTGTTCATCCTCGCCCGCAGCCACGACGATCTCCAGACCGATGAGGTCTAGTGACATGAGGCCAAGCCCCAGTCCGGCAAACATGGCTGAGAGCGCCAGCAGAAGCACCAGAGCGCTCACCTGCAACACAATGTCCTCGCTGCTGAGTTCCGCATCGCCGTCCCCGACCCCTTCGCCATTTGCCGCCACCGAGTTTAACTGCAGCACTGCGAGCAAGACGAAGACATGTGCCAGCCTCCTCTTTCTACTGCCTCCTAACATCTTCACCTGACTTCAAAGGTTCATAACTGCAATATAGCGACTGCTAAAAATACACATCGAGAGTGTATGTCGTGCCACTTGAGACCAGATCCTTGGTGAACCCATTTGTTAGGGCGATGAAGATCGCCTTGTTGCTAGCAGTCTGGACTTGGTTGTCGTCGAGTGGCAATGGCGCTGCCCAGCTACGATTTACGACGGTGAGCACTTGGACTTATAACGGAGGACGGACAAATGTGAGACTTATCGTACTGTTTTGCTGTCGTAGGAGGAGTCGCTGGATGAGATTCAGGAGGACGAGATCCACAAGTTGACGCCTGTCCAGCTGGAGATGTCCCCAGGAGTTCCGCTCAGAACTGATCGAGCAGCGACGTGGAGTCAGACCTTCTACCAGCTCTTGGTACGACGGCTGATTTAGCACTGTACTATCGCTCTACATCACCATTCGTTTTGTGATATTTTGTTGCTGCAGATCTCGTGTGACCATGGCACGTTGCAGCTAGACCGAGAGGTGGAACAGAGCCTGGTGGACACAACGTTCTTGTGTGCCAATGATTCCTTACAGAGCCGAGCGATTGGTGCCATCACGACGGCACAGGAGGTGCAGCACATACTCTCCTCTATTATTTATCAGCCCGATCTCAATTACCACAGCACGTGGTTCGGAGTGACGGATCCCCTTTGCCTCACACGGAACGACGGCAATGAAATCGTTCGAATGGAAATATCACCAGCGTATGGAGGCACTTCACAGCTGTCGTTGGATACGTGCGTTGCTGTTGATCTCAGCGATAATTCACTTTCTTTGTCGGATGTTGTCAGTACGCACGAGAAGAAGATTTCAGTGACAAGCGTGAACGACCCACCGACAATTGAACGTGAGCCAGGACCCGATTTATCTGTGCAAGCCGGAGGTGCTTGCATAAAGCTTTCAGGATTCACGCTTGATGACGCGGAAGCTACTGCGCTTGAAAGTGTTCCCAGGGCACTGATTCCTATCTTAACTTTGCAGTTAAACGTCAAAACGGGAACGCTGCGGGTTAATCGACGGTCTGCGTTGCAAAACGGGATTCATGCCATCAAAAACGGTAAAAATATGGGAGATTCCGAGCTAGCCTGGACCCTTCCCGATCTTTTCGATAGCCCATTGACGCTAAAAGGTGCACTCTCAGACTTAAACGAGTTCCTGCCCGAAGTCGAGTATTGCTCTTCTCCAGGTGATAGCATGCTGGTGTCGGATGCATTACTTGTGATATTGTCAGACAATGGATTTTGTGGTGATCTTGGCAAGGAGAGTCTCTCTGCTTCTCTCGTGGTGCCTGTACATATTTTACCAACAGCTAATCTTGGAAAACTTTTGATGTTGAAGACCAGTATCGTTCTGACGAATCACTCGGCATCGGTACCCTTGAGATACACATCTGTAAGAATCGACGAAGTGGAATGCACACTTGAGCTGAAATACAGCGACGGAATGTTAATAGGGCTTGACTATCAGACGGGCACGCTGTACAAAAAAACAAACATGGCCTCTCCACACGCATCGAGAACGCTTTCTAATGTGCTGGTTCCGACGAACGGATTGATTGTTCGATTTTGGGGAGATAAAAGCAACCGCGAGTCGGCTAATTTCAAGCTTGCTAGACGCGTTTGCAGCGTCGGCGAGATGTGTCACCAACTGGAAAGTAATCTCCTCTACGAAGATTCTTCTGATGAAGACGTCATAGAAGCAACCCAAGCACTCACGCTCGACAATGAAAGCGTTTCAGAATTGCAGATAATTCGCTATCCTGTATCTCGCTTCTGGTTGATTTGGAACATCCCACTGACATTCTCTCAAGAGGTTGTGGCAGCACCACGATATCCAGTCTCAGTGCAAACTGTTGGGCGATGCTTTCGATTACAAGGAAAGAGCGACCGTATTGAGGCTCAATTGAAAACTCTGACTCTCTACTCTCTAATTGGTGGTGTGGGGAGTAATAACCGTTTAAATGTGACGATATCCACCTTGAACGACAATGTCGTTCGCTCTCAAGATGTATTATCTGCTCAAGTTGATGTCTTTCCTTCACCAGTTTTGGAAAACATTCAGCTGCTTCACCCGCGTGAATTGGTTCTCGGTGAAAGCAGTGAAATGTCTTTGGAGTCTACTGCAATTTCGTATCCTTCTACTTACGATACTAACGCAGCTTTAAGGTGGATTGTTCGAAGTACTATCGGCTCAATCTGGTGGGATTCAAGATCGATAAGCCCCGCTATTGTAAGTCGACAGATATCCAAGAATGAATTGGAGCTACGAGGGAGCTTCGTGGATTTGAATGCTGCTCTACCAAATATCCGTATTGACGAGAGCGCTATTCAAGACTCTGCGTTCACTAATGTCTACGAGGACCAAACGTTCGAATTGCTCGCTGTGCCTTTAACCAAGACGAATAGTGTACAAACGCTAACTACTTCCTCCACTGAAGGTTCAATTGTTGGAAGTTTTGTTCTTGGACTCGACCTGCCGGTACGCATCTACCCCGACCTGGAACTTGACATTGCTAGTGGTCATTGTAAATCATCTTCAATTGGAGCAAATGATAATGTGGGGACAATTTCGCAAAAAATTACGCAGATGACATGTGACGTAGTTTCTGCAAAACCATCAGACAAAGTATTCAGACGCGAAATTCAATCCATTCGCGTATTCGCATTATATCCATCGCAGGTGGATGAGCTGACCGGTACATTTCGAGTTTCATTCCGAGGGCAGACCTCCAACTTAATTTCGCTTCAATCATCAACCGAGACAATCAAAGCCGCGATTATTGCGGTTGTAGTGGATGCAAACGGTATCGAGGTTTCTCGCAATGAGCTACCTGAAGAAAATGGTTTTGAGTGGCGAGTGACTTTTGGAACAGAGGGAGACGTTGGTGAAGTGTTCAAGGTGGTCTACGCTGAGACGTCTGTCTCATTTAAGATGTTAACAACAGTGAAACGAAAGGGTCGGCGTGCCGCTGACTTGAGGTTCGATACCTTTTACCCCGACATATCACTATCGGCCCAGTGGATAAAATCGGCAAGTTCTGAGTCTATCGCACTCGAACTTTCATTCTCGAGTACATTTGAGGATATACCAGCGCTGTCTGCGGAATCAAGCACGCTTGCACCAGCTCAAACTGCTCAATTGCTAGATGTGGTGGTAAAAAACAGCAAGAGCTCCGTGATTGCTGGCGCGACCGATCTTTATCGCCTCCAGGTTCAAAACCATGTAACGCTCCCGTTGGCATCCTGCTCGAATGCTAGCATTTTGGAAAATGCTATCCGTGGGTTACCAATTGAAAAGTTACGTGTATCAGTACGACGAAAGGCTTCAGCTTTCGTGCAAGGAAGGTTTGACTACACTATAGTTATGTCAGCTCCATCTCTTTTGAGCTTGACTTTAATAGCGGACGGCGCAACACCATTGTCGAAGGCACTTTTTCGATCGTCGATCGTAAATCGAGGAAGTGAAACCCTGATTGCTTTTGACACTATTTTGATGGTTCTGGAAACATTGGATAAGCCCACGTTACTTTCTTCCGGAGAAATAAATGCTCAGGTGTCCAGGATGAAAAAGAAACTGGGTATCCAGCTGCCGGTGGCGTATTTACAAGTTGATCTCAATCAGACCTTGACGATTGCTGGCATCGATTTCGAAGGATACAGTCACAAACTCAATTTTACTGTATCTTGTGCTAAGGGGCAACTTTACCTGCAAAAGCAAACCACATTACCTCGTCATGCTGAACCGGCGGATTCGACGTTGAAGATTAGCGGGTATTTTTCGACCTTAAAAGAGGTCCTTCGACAGAGTCATTTTGTTTATTCTCCACATGCTAACGCTACTGGCTATGACAAGTTAGTTTTCGCGATTGAATCTCTCGATGATCGAGCAGTTGAAATGCTGCCGGTTGTGATTCATTCGAGAGTGAAACTCCCTTCGTTGACATTGCCAGTATCGCCAATGTCTGTATTTGAGAATGAGTATGTCTCTATAACAGGAGTGACCTTAAACCTTGCGGACACGAAAAACAGTAGTCCAATGTTACGTGGAATCACTGTACAAATTACTACTCGGAGTGGGGTAGTGGGAATAAGGACCAGTGGATTTAATCACGATCTGCAACACAATTCAACCATCCAAATTCAAGGCGATGCTGAGAATGTTAATGCAGCACTGAAGAGATTAAGCTACAGACCTGTTGCAGTCACTCCATCAGAAGATCAAATACGCTTTTCAGTGTTCTGGACGGCTGAAAATGGAGAGGAGAATTCTCATGTTACGTTTGGGACGATACCGATCAAGATCATCGCAAGACCCCTGGCAATTAATGTTCTTAAAGATGGCAAGGCTGTTGGTAAGTACATTAGCGTTACATTGTTGGATGATATTCTCACATACTTTCACATTTATTGTCTAGGAGACAGATCTCTAGTCACAACGACGATGAATGCATCAGCGTCACTGGGTGATTTGCTAATCCAAGTTAATGGTGGCGATGGTCACAGGGAAAGCTGTAACACTCTTGGTGGACAACTTAGCAATTTATGCAATGTTACACTCGACCTCTCTCTTTTTGCAGGGCATGGATTAATTTCCAGTAGCTCAGAGACATTTTTGCAAGACAGAGCGCAAGACTCCCCGCTGGGTTTGGTACGTTTTATTGGCAGTGTGGGGGAGGCTAATAGGTTTCTTCAACAACAAGACTACGTTCCAGATGCGAAGTTTTACGGGCCTGACCAAATAGTGATCAACATTAAGCACATAACATCAGTGACTGACGAGGAGTGGATGGACGAAGATGCAGTGTTATTACCAGTGTTTGTTTCACTTGCGTGCGAGGCTCCTCAATTGATTTGGGCTGATAGTGGTACAAATTTCATGAGTTTAAGCATGCCCACCTCTTCTCCTTTCACGTTACCAGAAATTCTGATAATTCAAGAGGGACTGGAGACAGGGTATTGCCAGGATGATAAACTTTTTCACGTCATTGTTGAATCTGATCAAGTCTCACCCATGGCGACATCGACGGTGGTTACACGAACACTTGATGATCCCCGTGCTCTAGTCTTGAAAGGACTGATTTGGGATTTGAATTTGGCACTGAGGTCTGTGAAATATAAATTTGAGATCCATCGGAAGACTCAAATTCCTTTAACAGCAAGTGTAAAAGTTCACGTGGAAGGAGGAACGACTCAAGAAAATAATTTGAGAAGCTCTGCAGTTCTTCAGCTGAAATTTATTGGCAATACTAGACTTTTACATATGTTGGTGCGAGATACTATTGTGGGTTTTGAAGACACTGAGATTCCGATTGGTGACGAGATTAATTTGGATGGGTTTGCAGACCTTACAGGCGATGGTATCATTATTATCAGTGTGCACAACGGTGCCGTTTACGCAGCAGCTGATTCTGTCAACATTGAAGCAAGTGCTAAACAACGAGTCAACACTAGTGACAAAAGCTATCTACGATCGGTTATGTCAAATTTGCGTTACATCTCGAATCCAAATTTCAATGGTATCGACGAGATTCATTTCAAAACGCAAACCCACGAAAGTGTTCTCTACATCTACATCCAGGCTGAAAATGATCCCCCTGAATTCACGTTCAACTCAGGTGAACTGAAGGACTGGTACAAGTACCCACGAACATTCATTCCAACCTTTCAGCTCAAGGACCCGGACGACGACCAAACATTTCAAGTTGATATCCATGCTGAAAATGGATCGTTGTCTCTGGACCAGATATCTAGTCGTTCTTTCGATGGCGTTACGGTGGAATTCAGTTCATTGTCGTCGTCGCTACGGATGACGTCAAGTTTGAGCAGGTTGAATACTATTCTCCTTCAACGTTTGATTGAAGTTATTCCACACAACTGTGTCAAGGATGATTCGATGCGCGTAAATTGCGGTGTATCGATCGAAATATGCATTGATGACGGCTCCGACAGCGTTTGTCAAGAGCTTCGCCTACCTCAACAGGAACTATTCTATCGCGTTACTGTACCTGACTGGGCCAAGAGCTTGAATGTATCAATGGGCAGTTCGTTGAATCTTTCGAACGCCTTTGAGGTACGCCAGAGATCCGATGCGATGTCTGATTTGCTCCTTCGTGTTCATGTGTCGTCTGGATCTGTTCGAATTGATGTACCAACTTGTGCCGAGTTACGTGATGTAGTTGACGCGAACCAACAACAACGATCAGCGCTAACTGGAGTGAGTCAGACAATATATGCTCGAGATATCGCATGCTTGAACGAAGCGTTGGCAACGCTTCAACTACAGAGCGCGTACAATGAGAATAATTCGCTCATCGTTCAGCTTGAGCTCTTCAGTGACGATATGAAAGTATTAGCGGACGGAAGTATTATCGTGAAAGTCACTGACAAAATATTACCCTGGCGGATTATCTCCGTGCGAGCGACACACGATAAACCCTGGGTGGTTACGATAGGGAAGTACGCAAAATTGTCATCGCTTGTAAATATTTCTATCGTTGCGGATCCAGTGGGTACCTTCAGAAATGAATCCAACGAAAACGTACTACAGTTAAATGTTTCCTGCTCGATGTGCGAGTGGAAATATCAAGAGTTCGTACCAAGGGTATCTTATGAATTCGCTCAAATTCCTAACTCTAAGCTCACGTTTATAGGACTAATGGGCTCCATGAACGAGGTTCTTAAAACTCTCGAGCTTATGTTGGCTATTAACAGCGATTCTGGCACCGAAACGGTTCACTTCCAATTGTCACCAGTGTCTCACATGGTGCGAGGAATGGAGCCCCTTTGGAGCGAGAGCACTAACATCTCGATTCCTTTTACTACCAAGTATTCGTCGCTTTTGTGGGATGCACAACAAACGTTGTTTATCCTGCAATCGCCGGATTATAGTGCTGATTTAAGTGGGGTGAAACTCACAGGAATGGAGGAAAATCCTTCTCGTAATTTGACTATTCGATTAGATTGCACACATGGAAACGCAATAGTGAGCATGCCCAAAGTGACGTCGCTGTTCCTGGAACTTCCCTGTGGCTCTGATGAACCTGCTATTAATTTTACCACAGCGCGATCTAGCGTGGATAATTTTATCAGTTCAACAATTATCAAAGTGATTCCGAATGCGAGAGACCGTCGTATGGAACTACAACTCACTGCTGTTGACTCCATATCTGGGGGTTTTGGTGATGAAACGTCCATAAAACTGCAGTACCGCTCTTTACTACAGTCTCCAGTGACTTCGATGGAGCCACACAACGCATCTCTTACGATTCAAGTAAATAAGGAGAAAGTTCAGTCAACTGGGGATTTAGTAGCTGTGGATGGAGATCTTGATGACCCGACGTGGTATAGAATGAGAGTGCGAGTCGCTCATGGACGATTATCTATCCCAACCACTGTATGCTGCGTGGATATTCGCGAGACTAAGACTGAAAATGAGCTTGATATAGTTGGTTCGGCATTGGCGCTAAAGCAGGCCCTTGCTGCAGTACAATTTCAAGTCAATCAAAACTTTTGGGGTAAAGCTTCGTTAGAGGTGACGATCGCGTTGTTTTCTCCGTCACCGCTTTGGCCAAACGTTACGTTCTTGAACTTTTTTGCAAAGACTCCTGTACTGGTTAGTACGTCTTTACAATCTTCTCAAAAACGACCAGATAATCCGACCAGAAATGCTGTTGCAGATGTTGAAGAAAGCTGGAGCATTTCTGGGATCTACATCGGTGATGATGGAGAAAACTTAGATATGGAGATTGGAACAGGCAACGAATTATTTTTCCGGACTATGTGGGACGAATTCCAGCTTGATAAAGATCACATTTACACATTCACATCAGCAGATACTGCTGTAGATAAATTGGATAGATGGAACGTGGCACTTGAGACCCTACAGTATCATCAGCAGAATACAACTGTGATCCAAGTTAGAAACCCTCTCGCACCGGTTTCTCATCAGCAGGAAAGTGATTCACACTATGACGTACCCGTTCCTATCGTCACTACTGGAGCAAATTTATACTACAGCTCCGAGGACTCAGTCTTCCAATTTCCTGATCTCGCTCTTCAATTTCCCAAAAGCAAACCCATCTACTCCGCACAAGATGATCAATTACCTAGCGCTGTGTTGACCTACCGACCAACCAAGTATGTAAATCCTCGAAACGATGATGATGACAGAAGGATATATCAGCTAGAAATTCGCGTAAGCTATGGATCCATCTCTATGATTCGTCCAGACACTTTGAATGGTGATGATCAGAAGACACGCCAGAGCCGCTTAAAGCTCGAAGACAATGTGATGAACCTGGAGCGCGATCTGAACCGTCTTATTTATTTTCCACCGCAAAATTGGAACGAAGAGCAGTTTCCTGGAGGGCACATCGTGGAGTGGCAATTTGTGGTGTCGTTCGAAAGCAAATCGGTCGAATCGTTCGCAGATCTTGTGATTTTATCGAAAATCGACGCTCCTGTGATTTCAGTTCCTCATGCTCTGGAGGACTCATCTCATTACATGAATGACTACCTTTCTGTGCTGAGACTGGAGTGTTTGCCCCTCGTGTGTGATGAAGACACTCCTATGGTACTCGACGGGTTTTCTGTGAGAAGTGCCGATACAACAAAACAGCAGAAGGCGACTACAGATCTACTTGTGATTAGTATATCTGTTTATCATGGGATTATTTCTCTTGGTGACACTTGGCGCACAAACTGCATCAACGGATTTATGGGTGCCCAATCGTGGAAACGCATATCATTTAAGGCGAATGTGAATTGTGTGAATAGAGTACTGCCGGGAATGGTGTATATCGGCGAGCCTAACTTTAGCGGTACTGATTTGCTCAATATCCGAGTGGAGCATGCGTCGGAACTGGACAAAGCATTTGACGAGGTCATAGTCCCAGTCATTGTGATTGAACTAAACGACGCACCATATATTACAGTAGACTCGATATTCTATGAAGCAGACGAAGATATTCCGCTTGTGATTGACGACTTACGCCTTCGCGATCCCGACGCGCTGGATGAATCACTTCGTGTAATACTGGAGACCAACTATGGGCAACTTGCTCTGCTGAGGCCTAACGGTGTAAAACTGACAACTGAATTGGTCCAGAACGCCAGCAGCAGCAGATCCAGATTGACATTAGAAGGAACACTACGTAACCTTGATGCCGCCATTGCTTCTGTCGTTTACACTTCAGCGAAAGACTGGAACAGTTTGCAGCTCCGTTCCGACGACGGAATGAACGGGTTTGATACGATTAGTATCACCTCAACCGATTTATCATCATTTAATGGATCGAGTGTGTCTTTGCTATTCGTTTACGTGGAGCCAAGGCCTGATCCAGTTCTGATTGGCACTCCATCAAATGGCTTATCGAGCATTTATGCGAATGATGAACCGGGAACGCTCCGTGGCGATGAAGATACGTGGATTAACGTAAGAGGATTGGCATTCTTTAGCGCTGATGCCACGTCACGGGCGACTCTGGTTGTTTCATTATTAGTGACGCGTGGTATTCTCTCTTTGGGAAATAGTCGAGGCCTCACTTTTCTTGAAGGCACTATGGACGGAGGCAGGAGCTTAAAATTGAAAGGTACTTTTGCCAACGTGAACGAATGCACGATTGCTCTGCGATATCTTCCAAGCAAAGACTTTTACGGCCAGGATTTGTTAGTTGTGACTGCTACTGCGGTTGATGAGTACACGCAGCAACAAACCCCGTTGTCATCCATTCGCGTTGATATTGTGGTGGACGCCGTAAATGACGCGCCAGTATGGAATACCGGGTCATCTATCGTTCGTGAAATCCAGCAAGATCAAGCCGCAAGTATTGGAGGAATATCATTTCATGATGTTGACGTTGATGCCGTGGACTGTACCGTTGAAATTTGTGTGATGGATCTGATTGTTGAAACCAGTGGTGGCTTTGTAGTTTTACCAAATCAATCGTCTCCTTTGTTTTCCAATGACATGACTACCAAGCAGGTAACATACACAGTCCTTTCGGGAACACCCGACGATTTGAACATGCTACTTTCAGAAATGACATTTATGCTCGCCGATCCTGAATACTATCGAGCTGATAACCCAAGCAGCACTGACATTAAACTACAATTGACTGTTGACGATAGAGGTATATCTGGTTCGGGTGGACCTCAAATCAGCTCAACGACAATAGTATTCAGTCCTGTGAAGTGGTCAAGCTATGAGTTGTCGCTGCTTGTGCCAGAAGATTTACTGACACTGAACGAGGATACAGCTTATAGTTTTGAAGGAAAACTCCAACTGGTCGATCCTGATTCGGCGCAATCATTCCGCAACCTTTTCGAATTATCGATTAATTGTACGCATGGGGTGTTCGCGCTGGGTAGCGCAGTGACTGGGGTTCAGGTGTTGCAGAACGATTCGGACGATGAAGTTGTGCTTCGAGGCTTTTTTGCTCAGTTAAATGCAGCTTTAAATGGGAGTTCCTATATCCCTGCTCCAAACTGGTATGGTTCAGAGGAAATTTCACTTTCAGTGATAGAGTTGAGTCACCTTGAGAAGCCTAAAAAAACTGTGGTGGCCTCCATCTTTCTGTTTGTTGCTCCTGTTTGCGACGAGCCCCACTGGTCTGCTCTTGCGGAAACCCCACTTACAATGCAAGAAGATGGATACCTGCTAATAGATACACTGTCGCTGACCAACCCAGACCTCGATGATAAGCAACGCGAAGTCGAGGTGACAATTAGCGTGGCGCATGGTGGCGTGATGTTATCGATGACAAAAGGTCTTCTTGTTCAGGAAGCTGTGTATAGCATTTCAGAGGATAGATTGGTCGCTCAGCACATTACAGTAGGGCATTTGTTTTCCGAATCAAGTCATTTCTTCAAGGACCTCGCTGTTCGTGGACGAGTTAGTGACATTAACGTTGCCTTGAATGGTATGGTATTCAAGCCATGGCTCGACTACAATTCTGATGGCTGGCCCGTGGACGAAATAGTGCTGACTGCAACAAGTTTTTGTGGTAACTCGACGACAAGTCACGTTACGATTCCGATCGCTATCTTTGCCGTTAATGACCCTCCAGTACTAATCTCTCAGCACTTTCAGCCCGTTGAATCGCCGTATTCCTTCGGCAGTCTGGAAGCTATGTCGTGGCGGTCTTCAATTGAAGCCAAAAAAGACTCCTCACTGCAGTTGGAGTCGACCGAGCTCTACAATCCCGACGGCAGTGGTGAGCTCCGGCTTCTTGTAAATGTTTCGTGCTTTCACTGTTCAATTACCTCCGAATATCTATCACATCCTTCGGAAACCCAACCAAGCGATGATCTTATTGTAGTGACTCGAAACCCGAAGAATGATGAAGGTGTTCAGCTCATGGTTCACGGGACGCTAGTATCACTGAACAGTGGCCTAATGCGTCAGCTTTTTTTCCGGGGAGCTGATAACTTCATCGGATTAGCGTTTGTGCTGGTGGAGATATCCGACTTCGGAAATTATGGAGAGGAAGGTGCACTTCGCTCAGTATTTGTGTTGTGTGTTAGAGTTAATCCGTGAACACCATTCCTCAAGCTCACTCACCACAGTATCAGCATACAAAGATTGCCGGCAATGCTCCTCCCACTATTGCCATGGCCTCGACTTTCTACACTCCTACGGGTGAGTGGATCGCCCTTGCAGGCATCAAAATCTCTGATCCGGACTCGGCGGAAGGTATTTTGTACCTCAGCATAGCTGTTCATAATGGAAAGCTCCGAGTGGCGCTACCTCGAGCGAATAGTGATGGACCAACAGCACTCCAATCGACTGCTATCTCGCAAACACTCAAGTTTGCTATCACCGCAGAATAGGCAAAGGAAATATTTGGGGCTCTAGAATACAGTTGCGACGGTGACTATGGTTGCTTCAAGTCACCATGCAACTACCTAACAGTCTATGTCGACGACAACGGCTTTGCTGGAGCGGGGCGGTCCTCAGGTGGCAACCAAGCATGCTTGTCGTGAGAAGTGAAGCTTGAGTGTTACGTTTGGCAAAAAAAAAATATAAACATCCACATGCGTCGGTTGAGCGCCACAAAATACCATTTGTTCAGCCCTAATTGTTCTTGTAAAACACCAAAAGTTCGTCGTCAGTCTAGTTCGCGTTGGGGTCAGTAGACGCTGCTGCTTCTTCAGCAAGTTCCAGTGCATTCTCCACAAAAAAGGCTTTGTCAAATGCCGCTTCCTCCAGCACCCCATCCTCATAACTGGCCTTGTACGTCGTGAGCAGCTGCTCATCGTTCTTGCGGGCTAGCGACTTGAGCATCTTGAGCGCCTTCTCGTCTTCAAAGTGGCCCTCCTTGTGAAGCTTGTTCAGCATGCGCAAGACATCGCTCGACGCAGCGCTTTCGGTGGGAGGAGCAGCAGAGGGTGTTGCTGCAGCTTCAGGTTCGGCCACTTCAGTTGCACTCGTCGGCTCAGCGTAACCTACACAAAAACAAATTGAGAAAATCACTGCACTCAGCCCTCTCAAGAATCCCCACAATATAATCACTTCTCGCCACGCACCTTCGATGCAGCGAGGGTTTTCCTTCAGCACCTTCACGAACGGCGCAATATCCTCCTCAGCGGGCACAATAATAGCCAGCGGCTGGCCTGGAGCAATGTTGCTGGAGCCCTCGTTCACCACTAATACCAGGAAACACCAGCGGGAGCCAATAAAATGTCAGTTACGATCGGCACTTTGCAAAGCGGCAGCTACTGATGCTTACGCAGTCGCGCGATGAATCCCTCATCTCCAGACTCGAGCTGGAAGCATAGGTCTGGCGTGTCAATCTACCGCAACAGCAGCAGAAATACCAGAATCTCGTCAGCTCCTTAGTTCTTGCGAGCTCCTGCATTTGCTACATTGTCTTACCTCGCACATGTGCGTGCCATCCGTCACGGCCGTCCCCTCCTGCACGTACCACTTGGTCAGTGTCGTGTCCCCGGCACCACTGCCCACCTCCTGCGTCAATCACATAGTATCTGTTAGACACCCGCACAACATTTTGTCCAATGCTGAAACGGTAGCTGTGGCGCACCTTGAAGTCCAGGTCGGGCATACGGAACTTGATGTGACTGGGTAGATCCACTTGCTTGTGCTCGTCCTCGTTGGTTGGCGCTCCACTGTCCGTGGAGAAGAGAGCGAAAGGTCGCAGCACATCCGCTCGTGTGCGTCTCGCAGCCAGCGCCACGCTTCTCTGCCCGTGCGCCGCCAGAGCCCGAGTCGACAGTCGCAGCATAATTGCCTGCGGTGTTTGAGGTTGTCAATTACAATGGCTGCTCGTAAACTAATGCAAATTAAAAAAAAAAAAAAGCTCTGTAAACTTATACCAATTAAATTAAATCTTTGTAAACTTATGCAAGCTCTAAGTGACTGCAACTGACTTTCGATTTGAGCTTGCATAAATTTACAGAGATTTTATTTAATTTGTATAAGTTTGCAGAAATTTAATTTAACTTGTATAAGTAAGCAATGCAAACGCCCTGTTGAATTATTAAACATTCAACGGAAATAGATTGCAACACCCTTCCAAAAAGAATGTTATGCGATCGAGCACTGGCAGGACCGGTTAAAACGATGTGAAATACCTCAACGTTGTGTAAGAAACATATTGTGATGTTGGCCACACTGTTCAGCTTGGGTGGTTGCCGCTCACCACCAATCGCCTAATTCTCCACCCACCTTTTGGAAGCTACTATCATTGGAATTCTCCGCGAGAAACGAAAGGAAGAAGCATGAGGTGAGTTTCGATAGCGCTCGTGGCTGTGTACAGCAGGCTCAGATGTCGCTCAAGCATACCAAACAAATGCAGCACAGCGTACTGACATTTGTATGCTTCGTCATTGCCTCGATACAGCAACACCAGCATTGAGAACGCGACTACGCTAAACCTGTCCCTCCGCCTGCGCGGTGGTGGTAAGGTCCACGGTTCGCTGGCACGTGCCGGTAAGGTGAAGGGCCAGACCCCCAAGGTCCCCAAGCAGGAGGACTCGAAGAAGGCTCTGACGGGCCGCGCTAAGAAGCGCTGGCAGTACAACCGTCGCTTCGTGAACGTCGTGGCGGGCATGGGCGGCAAGAAGCTGGGCCCCAACTCGAACGCTGCCAAGCAGTAAGCAGGCATCCAGTAGGCTGGACACAGTCAGCGGGGATGGGCGACGCGAGGAGCAGGCGGACTACTACGGCGTACAAGCTCGTAGCAACGATGCAGGTTCAGCAGGTTTCTTTTCTCTCTCGACTGTGGGCATCATCACACCTCAGGGTGGCGTCGGTGCTGTCTTCTCTTCTGTGGCGCCTAGCGATCCAGCTGTTTTGGTGGCGGTCGTTGGCGTAGATTCCTCGGGAGCTTCGCGGCCCCCGATGCTCTCGCATATTCCATAATCAACCGTATGTTAAATCCAACGCTGCCTCCGCTTCGCTCGGGTCAGGTGTCGCTTTCGGTCTCTCGCAATCGCAGTCTTTGTGTCGAGTTCCGTCGTTGTCGCTACCTGTATCTTTGTGTACGAGCTCTAGGCCGTCAACGTGCCAGGGGCGCGAATTCATCTTTTCTCTCAGAGCCTTTACCTAAGTCGTTGCATGCCTCACCACTTGATGTCTTACCACTGTTTTCTCATACAGATTTATTAGAAACCGTTTCGACATGCTGTTGCTGTACATGCGACGATGAGCTTCCAATTATCATTGCTAAATACGGGTGAGTTGGCGTCCTACACCACGATCAAGTGTAGCTCATGTACAGCGATGACTCAGCCGCATCCGAGGTGGAGTCTGAAGTGGAGGATGCTTACGGCGACGACGGCAGCGGTGAAGTCGCCAGCGAGATTGCCGAGAGCGGTGATGTCCACGAGCTGGCACCGGTGTTGAAGCAGCAGCCAAAGCAGCAGAGCAAATCTATAGACTCGGACGTGTACGATGAAGACAATGATGGCTACAGTGCTGAAGACTTCGAAGACGACTTTGAAGAGTACGACGAGGAAACGTCTTCCATCCAGCCCCCTCCACCAGCCCCAGTTACCAAGGGACCGTCGCCAACTCGCTCAGTCATAAGCAACACTCGCCGCTCGGTAGTAGCATCTGATGATGCGCCGGGATACGACTACGAGTATGGTGAAGCCTCGTTCGAAGAAGAAAGCTGTCGCTCGCAGAGTCAACGCAGCTTGAGTCCAAGTAATCGCGTCGTGGATCTCTCGGTTCGTTCGGCATCGCCTTCATTCCGCCCAGCACAACCACCACCAGAAAGCAGCAACGACTTCGTACAAACCACTTCTGTGGAAGCTCACTCACCTGTAGCAGGTGCCAAGGCTTCTTCGAGACCCACTCCGCAAGTGCTTGCATCGGTTGCCGAAGAAGAAGCTGAGGCTTATGCTGCTATGCAAAGCAAACAGTTTTCGTTGCTGCTACGTAAAATGGAGAGCAAGTTCGAGGACGAGGTCGAGGAGCTCCGCGAGAAGAATGCGTTGCTCACGTGGAAGGAGCGAGAGCTTAAGGCATCGCTGCGTCGAGCCAAGGAGGAACTCACTATGCGCAAGGCACGCATCGAAAAAAAGCGCCGACGTGCTGCTGACAGACGGCGGGAACACGAGCGAGCAGCAGAGCGTGTGCAGCAGGAACTCGCGGCTGCTCAGTCTTCCATAGTCGAGCGTGATTGCCGCATCGAGGGACTGCAAAACGAGCTTGTCGAGTTACGAGGAATGCTGCAAAATGTGGAGCGGGAGAAGCACGAGGCGGATGGGCGGAATATGATACTAGCAGAAAAGCTTCAAGCAGCACTCGGAGACTTTCATCAGCTTACATGCAGCTTCGAAGGCGCAGTCAACGCCAAGTTGGTCTGTGAGCAACGTATTGAAGAACTGAAAGGGATGCATCGAGTACAACTTGAAATCATAGAGCACAAATGTCAAGTTGACGTGGACGCTGCGCGTCGAGCATTTGCCGAGGAGGTTGCATCCCGCGCAGCTGAACGACAAACGCTACCGGAAGTTCACAAACGTGTTGTGGAAGCGGAGAAAGAGCGCTACGAGAAGCTGGAGGCTGCTCTGAATAAGCAGATGCGTGAGCTGGAGTCTCGTGCGGCGCAGGATGCTTTGACGCACGCTGCAGAACTTGCACGGGCTACTGAAGTGAAGCACCAGGCTGAACAGCGAGCAGAGCGCCGGATACAGGACGAGGTTGATCGGGTACGAGTTTGTTAAGCCAAACCTGCAAAATCCATAACTCATTGACTGCTACCTATTTTGCTCATAGATTGCACGCGAGCGCGAAGCTGTGGATGAGCAACGGCGCGAGCTGCTGGCATCAATGGCCCGCACGAACGTGCGCTTCGATGAGGAACGAGGCAAAATGGAAGCGCGGAGTTGTGAGCTTGATGCACGAAGGTCTGAGCTCGCAGATGAGCGTGCTGAGCTCGAGGCTCGTATTATATACGTCGAGCAACGCACACGGCGTTTAGAGGAGGACGAGGCTCTAGTCGAGAGGCGACGCACAGAGCTGGCCGCTGTCGGGCGAGAAACGTTGGAGCGGTCGCATGCTCTCGCACGGCGTGCACAGGAGTTAGCCGACGCCATCGCAGAGCGCGACAAGTTGCGCACACTCGTGAAGGTTCTAACGGAGCGCTCAGAGCGGAGTGAGCAGCGTGCAATGATGCTGGAGCAGGACTGCGAGAAGCTGGAGATGGCGGCGCAGGCGCTTCAGCAGGAGCGATTGCTGGTTGCCAAGCAGCGCCTGCAATCGCGCTACTTCTTGGACGGCGCGCGCAAGCTCGAGAGCATGTTGCATCAGAAGCACTGCGCCATGGAGGCGGCGGACAAGTACCCCCCATCCAAGAGCGTCTTCTACGCTAGCAATCAGCACGAACACCATCAATGATCGAATTGACCATAATTCTGAGCATGTTGAAGTCAATTTCACTTGAATTTTGTATTGACACATTCAACCAATGATACTGCTATTCTGCCGTCTCATCGCGGCATTCGAGGATTCCTCGCGATCAGACGCGGCAATCGCTCCGTGATCGGCGCACGAACCCATTCGCCTTCTCACTTGTGTCGCAGGGGACGACCATGTGGTTACTGAGCCTCAGCCTGGGCTGTTGTCTGTGCGTGTGTTGTTGTTGCTGCTGCTGCTTCGCCGGCCTCTTCGATGAGGGCAAGGTGTCCCCGCTCCCCGTGCCTATTAGGCGGCCCGATGCGAGGACTTCTCGACCGACTCGCCGCGCACGCGCGACAGAATCCCGCTAAAGAACGGCCGCAAGCCACTGGCCGGGGCGCCGCTGGGATCCTCCTTATCCAAACTCACACGCAGAACGGTCGATGCGCGGCTCGATTGCTCGAACGGACTCTCTGAGATGCGCTCCACGGTCGGCAACTGCATCGCTGGCGGACGCTGCTGAGCTTCCTGAACGTCACTAGCTAGAGGCGCCGCTGGTTTCGCCTCCATTTCTTCCTGATCATCCGATTCCATGTCCACGTCTGCGGTTTCTTCCGTCTCAAGCCGCTGCATCTTGGCTGGTGGCCATGACGTTGTCGGGTCCTCTGGCCGCTCACGTGCTTCGGATGCTGAAGTCTCGTTCACCGAGTCACGCAAATATCCGATATCGACGGGGTTCAGCTTGTAGCTTGACAGGCGCTGCGCTGTGATAGCGGCAGCTGCCACTACACTAGCTGCTGAGATGGAAGGCCTCACTCCTCCTGAGGGCGTCGTAGCTGCACTGTTTGCCCCAGAGCGAGGGGTGGAGGCCCCAGAGCCGAAGCCGAAGCCGAGAGTACTGCGGGGTGTGAGGTTGTTGGCGATGTACGATCGTGGTGTGTTGCTCTCGTTAAAGAAAGCGCCAGGGTTGCGACTTCCTCGCGCCTGACTGTGTGCTCGCCCTCGAGCATCGTAGGCCGACCGCGTGGACGTCGTGGAGCGAATGGAGAGGTTAGACTGAGCTGACGCATCGGAATAGGCGGAGGGCGTGCGTGGCCCACCACCATTGCCCATGTATAGATCCATCAGGTTCATCTCGTTGTGTGCAATTGTGCTGCTGGAAGTAACAGAGGAAGTAGATATATCCGACATGTTTCCATCGTCGTCTTGACCACCAGTCTTTTGCACGCCCATGTTGCATACCGAGCAGATACGAACGTTTTTGAGCGTTGTGCCTGGTACTTCCACAGACTTGAACACGCTGCACTTGCCACAGATAACCTCACCACAACTTCGGCAGTGGTGACGCGGACGGAATGTGCCAAAAGTTCGACTGCACACGGCACAATGCAGACGCTCATGGTTGGGCACCCATTGCCTCTTGTCGACGAAGGTGCATGAGTTCATCTGCTGTTTATCAATGACGCGACGGATCTGCACAATGCTGTTCACTAGCTGCGACTCGGCCGTCTTGAATGCCCATTGTGCTGGGAAATAACCACCCGGGTCAAATCGAGCCACGTGATGGACCCGCACTACGTTTGACTCGGCACGATCTATGCGGTACATGTATCCGGCGAGGATTTTGGCGCGAACAAGTCCATGCGAATTCTCGAGCGACGGACACTCGTTGACCTCGATCGAGTTGAGGACACGGATGTACATTTCGTTGCCGAACGAGTCCACAATCTTGTCTTGTACCTCCAGGCAGCAATAGTCACGATGTGAAACGATGGGTGTGGGGGTCTTGACGGCATACCACTTGATGCCAATGTACCTGAAGGGTGTGAGAGGAGTACGCGGGACGACCGTGAGCAGTACAGCGGCATCCATCACGGCAGGATTCAGTTTCTTCATGAGTCTCCTAAATAGAGCATCGTCGTGCGCTGCGTAGGCGCGACCGACCTGATCTAACGAGGCCGAGAGCTGGCCCTTGCAGCCCACTTCGGCGACGTTGGACTTGTAAGCCTTGGGACCGTGCATCTGACCAAAGTTGCGGTAGATGGCCACGCCCTTCTTCTCTCGCATGGGGATCCAGCTATTCTTGTGGCAGTCACTCAGCGCGAACACCTTGCGGATGGAGGCCTCGGCGAACTCAATATACTGGCGCCGCATGTCCTCGGATACGCGTACATTCGTATTGAAAAAGCCCTTGGGCAGCGGCAGCGACGTCGACATGGTCGTGGTGCTGTCCTAGCTAGGCCGTAAAGGCGGAGTGGACAACGTTGACGAACGCAGCCCCGACGAGCGAGTATTCGTGCCGTCGCGTGTCGAGCTGTCGTCGCCTGGGGTTTTGCTTGGCGTAGATGGCGCCGATCTCGTCGCTGCGGTGGCTGCTGCGAACCAGACGGCGATCGATATCCCAACAGCGCACGGACTGACAGCTGGCCAAGTAGCTGCGCAGAGGTAAAGTGGCCAATGCGGCACGTTCGCTTTGGCCGTGATGAGGATCGATGAAAATTGTGGCCAATCACGCCCGCCGGTCGTGCGTGCAGGTCTGACTTGGACTGACTATACGCTGTCGATTGACGGAACGGCTTGAAGCCGGGCTGCAAAGGAGCGTCGCTGTTCTATGACAGACGGATGCATGCGTTTCGCGTTTCGAAAAACGCATTGAGTATGGGGGATCGCAGTACGTGGCGTCCTCGAGAGCCACCTTATAACTTACCAAGTGAAGCGAGCTTGCTGGGTCAGCGCCGCAAATTTGTGTGCCAATCCTGCATTTAGTGAAGATTAAAACTAATTTTTAATTTAATACTAGTGGAGCATTCGTGGGCAGTTGCTTAAGGTGCGACTGCCTAGAATTATGTGCAAAACATAATTTTGGACGACGCCCCCGCCCCCTTTTTCTCATACGACCCACCTACTAAAAATCTTATCAAGATGGCCAAGATGAAGTCTACCGCGGCTACCGAAAGGAAGCAAAGGGCGATTAAAGGTGTGGTAGAAGGCGTGTGTCGGTGAGTTGTTTGATTATTCATCCGTGTGATACTGTGGCCCAGGACGATCTACGGGGGAAGTGGTGTTTACCGTCAAACGCACAGGTAGAGCTGGCTAATTTCGTACATACAGGACTGACGTTTAATTGCTTCAACAGGAAGCAAATTCTGTGGGAAGGGACAGGTTGAGGAAGATCAGAAGTTGCTTAAGAACTCCACCATGGTTGAGAACAACCTTCATGCAGTGTCTGACCCGATACCGTCGATGTCAGTAAACGGCCGCTGAAGTGGCCCGTGCTGCCCACGCCCGCGCAGCAAAAGTGCTGAAAACTCAACACCGTACGTATTATTTTGTTCTACGCTTGATCGTGAACGATAAACAATAATCGATACTGCAGATTTCACTAATGATTAGGTCATGCTGTACGTGCACTGCGTGTTATTCAAGCAGCTCATGCACGCGTGTCCAAGGCTGCGAAGTATCAACGAAAGAGTGACAATAGATAGTGCCGTGGAAGTCACGAGATGAGGACCACGTTTACGTAGTTGCCGGGGCTCGCTTTAAGATTTAAAAAAATACTTGAGTTCATATTGACATGTTTTGGTATGGCTTACACCGTTTTCACTACTACAGCCTACGTTTTGAGATGAAAGTGTGCGCTGATGGTAAAAACAAAGTCGAGTATTGCCGTCTTCCTATTTGACAAAGGCTCTCGGGTTATTACTCGCGGCTCCCGCGATGGACACAAACACGTTTGCTGATTCTTCAGCTGCCTGCTCACGCAGCTCCGCGTCAACTTCGTCCAGCAGCTCCGCGGCAGCTTGGTCGTCGCCGAGTGACGCCATGGTCAATGTAGCTTGATTGAGATCCGACTTGACTTGTGCACCAGGTGGTGAATTCGATTGTGGCACATGCTCCAACTTGGGGATTAAGCGAGCGAGTCATTTGCCTGCCGCCCCTTCAAAGCACAGCATCCTGGTCATCCGAGCCGCCACCGAGTCGTAAAGTTATAATACAGCATCCAAGAGGCCGGCATTCTTACTCTTTTTACAGGCTAGATTTTTTTTACGATAGCATTAACTCTTACAGGTTTTTCCTGTTTTTAAGGGCTTATAGAAGGGTGAAATCGAGCAAGAGAACCGACGCGTCCACAGCAAAACAATCATTTTTAGCTCAATTTGAAGGGTCACCATAGAACGACAGAAAATCCTTGTTTAATAAAAATGTGCCCTCAGTTTAAGAACTTTAGCGACACGGCGTTTCGATACTTCAAGTGATTAGAATCAGCCTGACCATTCTTTTTATAGTGAGCACAATGTCACTAAACCGAAGGAATTTTCGTCGTTTTTGGTCCTTATGTAGACGATTATAAATTGTCACCCTAACCCATTCCAAAAACTAATGTATCCACTTCGTATAAAAGGAAAAGAGAGTGTAAATAGGAGTTATGTACTCTACAACAAATACACACGATTATAGGGGGGGCTTCGCCCCAATTACTAGGATGCTTCACTTTAGACTGGAAGGACTGTGCAAATGGCGTAGAAGTATTTCGTTTACCTTAGTGTGTACAAATGGTGCTTTGCAGACATTGTTCTGTTCTCAACGAAGCGAGTCGTTTGAAGCCAACAATAGCTTTTCTTAGTCCAACAATCGTTGGAACCTTAAAAGAACAAATTATTGGACGCTCACCTAGGAGCCCGTGTAGATTGAGGTAGCTATCTTGTCGTGGTAAGTGAAAGCGTGGGAGCTACTTCTTCTGGGGGTTAGGTTGGTTAAGGAGTTGGAGGATTTGCACCTTCCCCCGGTTCTTGATTCGGCCACGGCTTTTGTTTTTTTTTTTTTTTTTCGGTGTCTCTTTTTTATACAAAAAAAAACTTGATTTCGAGATATCTGCGGTGGTGAGGTCGCTCAGCATAAGGTCATCGTTTGGGGCTGCAAACGCTCTTTGAGTTGCGTTGCACTCTAACCTCTCCGTTTAAGAATAATGCTACTTCCACGACGCGCATGCTGTAATGGTGCTGCAAGTTGCAGTCTGCAATGGAGCAGATATGGGAGTATTTAACACATCATATCTTGCGATTAATGAGTCTCCCTTAGACGCACGTCATGTTTGTTGCCTTGACACGTCCCATAGTTACGCGCCCTTATTATTCGCAGATATTATAGTTTGGGTGAGTGTTGTGTGTCACTAGTAGTGAATGTGCTGTGTATCGTGATGTGATCTGAAAGTTACTTGAGCTACAGGTAACCTCTTTGGAACGAATTAACCTGTGTGAGGCTGTCCATATAGCTCTTCTAGCTGTCCTCCCAGGAAAATAATTGTTATGCATGCACGTGCTCCAGTCGAGAGTGGAGAGAGAAACCAAAGGATTGCGGCTGTGGTGGTCGTCGAGTCACAGCGCCCATGTGCTCAAGTAGTATAGAGGCAGTCCTTCAAAGTCAAACTAGAATCGCAAAGAACAATCTGAGAAGAGGCTACAGATCAATCGAAGCTCGCTAAAGGTTAAGCGCGAAGGTGCCGGAGTCAACCGCGGCTGCTTCGTGGGAGAAAGAAGTGTGTCAGAGAAGACTAGCAAGTCGACAAAAGGGAACGGTAAGAACTGGAAGTACTACAAACAGCTAGTGAAAATCGCTGCGCTAAAGAACGGCGGTGAGATCTTCAAGAGCATACGAGATGATAGAAAGTGTGGCGATAACTGGAAAGACCTCCAGATATCTACGTAAGTTAATCATCGGCCACACCTTGCACAGTTTTATTTCATAGGTATGTACGGACGTCAAGCTGCTACTCCAAGCGTTGCTACCCGCGGCGGCCACATGGAAGTACATGTCTAGCTAGCTCTCACACAGCAGACCCGGGTTCGAGTCCCGGTGTGGGAACATCTTTTGCTCTTCTTTCACCTCTCCTATTTCGTCTCGCCTCCATGGTTTTCAGCTTGGTTGTGCAGTGCGTGTGCCGTTGGCATGCAGCACATGTCGCTCAAAAGGCCCGCTGCACCTGCATGTCTGATGCCAACCCTGTTTTGGGGA